CATGATCGTATCAATAACGAAGTTGAAGATGGAAGGTGAAAGAAGACAGCCTTGTCGGACCCCACTTGATGTGGTGAACTCAGGAGAGAGCTTCCCGTAAACCTTTATACGGTCGCGGGAGTTGGCGTACAGTGCCTTAATGAGGGTCAAGAATTTATGGGGGACACCTTTGCTCCACAGACACTGCCATATTGCTTGGCGGTCCACAGGGTCAAAGGCAGCTTTCAGATCAAGAAACAACAATTTTTGGTTGCTGGAAGCACTGTCGCTGTTCCGGAATCTGTCGGAGGGTAAAGATATAATGGGTGCAATCTCTTGTTGGACGGAACCCAGCTTGGTTTTCACGGATCTGCCTATCTGTGTTCCGTCAACCATCGTAGGATAGGGTCAGAGAGCACCTTCAATGCCACGGTGGTTTTCACATAGCGTCCGTGTACCTTTTTTGAAGATGGTGATAACTGCGACTCTGCAGACACTTTCTCTTCGTCATGTATGGCACCAATAAGCTTTGTCAGATGGGTCACCAGGGGTTTTCCGCCTTCTTTGAAGGGGGCTGGATACAGACCGTCCGGTCCGAGTGCCTTCTTACGTCTCAGTACGGCTATTTCGTACCTTATTTCTTCTTCCGAAGGGCAACTGAGGTCTACATTCCATTTGCTCGTATTCGTTATCTCCACCGGCTGTGTTGCATCAGACCAGCTGAACTGCTCTTCGAAGTGTTCGGCCCATCTGTCGACGATTCGATTTTGCGAGTGAATTATTGAGCCATCCTTTTCACTTATCGTTTCGCTGATCATTGCTTTTCTAGGACCAGTCGATCGTATCAGTCGATATGGGGCACTAGGGGGCGAGACGGCCGAAGTGGTTAGAGCGCGAATTTACTGACCGGAAGGTCCGTGATTCGAACCCGACCTCTGCCTCTAGACCTCCCCTGTCTAGGCTTGGGCAACCTGGCAGTATCCCATCCCTCGTGCGTCCTTCGGGTAGCATGACAGTTAGGCACTGAGAGGGTACCACAGCTGAACGATGTACGGCACGGCTATTTCCCGTAGCAAAAGCCTTCTCCGTCTCTCGAGCTTTGGATGTTTACCAGATCCTGAAGGGAAACGAACTGTCAAGGGTGCGCGCACCATGGCGTGATCGGAATCAAGTGGTGTGCCCCAGAAGGAGCGGCAGTCTTGAACTGTGGCTCTCCACCGGTGGCTGATGGCCACATGGTCCAACTGGGTCCACGGTTGATTAGTAGTTGGCGGCCGCCAGGTTACGCGGTGCGAACGTTTATGTTGAAAGTTCGTACTTGCCAGAAACAGTTCGTGATCAGCACACAACTGAAGGAGTCGATCTCCGTTGTCTGTGCGGC